ATGCTCTGAAACAAGCCCCTGCTTGCTGCCTGACATTCCACCAGCACGCCTCACTCCCCTTGTGTGTTAAACATACTGCTTCCCTTGTCAGTGCAAACACACTGAGGCAGGCATTGGAGGGAAGAAGGAGAGGACAGAGGCCCACATTGAAGCTACGTCCTCATTTGAGTGCCACAATTCTTCTTGAGCACATCTCATGACTTGGGGTTGCCTAAGAGAGGGCCAAGAGGGCTCCTCTGAGAGGCACTGAGAACCACGGGAGGGAGAGACGAGAACCTGGTTAGACAAGCAGAAGAGGGCAAGTATGGATTTAGTTTGCGGCATCGCACCGATGTGGATTTCAGCAACGATTTCATGAGGTAATTGTTTTACCCATTTCATTGATCAGAACACTGAGGCCCAGAGAGCATGACTCAGTCTAATCACTTTCTTTTTCTACATGCATTCTCCTTGAGAAAGTTAATTTGAACATTTTGGGTGGAAAAGCATGCAGCAAACTTATACCTATATATTCATCTTACCTATATAATTAACTATACATTTTAGCTACATACATATATACATTTTAACTATTTTAATTAAATTATATATAAATTTTAACTATAATATATATACAGTTTAACTAGATTTATATATGCATTTTAATTATAATTGTGTTTTCCATAATATAAAGAATTGGTTTTATATCTCTGAAAATCGTGTATTGCTTTGAAAAGAAAAAATGCTTTTGTTTCTTGGGGATAGAAGACTTTTAAGCATTTTATGGACATGAAAAATGATATTTTTAAGGCTAATTCTTCTTTTCTTTCTTTCTTTTTTTTTGGTGTCAGGAGTTGAACTCATAACCTTGCACTTGCTAGGCAGGCTCCTATGCTGAGCTAAATCCCCAGCCCCTGAAAATTGATATTTTTGAGGCTTACTAGTCACATAAAGTATATCATGAGAACTGTTAGATGTCTTGGTTACAAATTTCAGCTGTCCTATCAGTTCTGTTGCTAAGAAAAAAAAGGTATTACAGTGACTTCATTGAAAATATTCTGTATGCCCCTGAATCCTGAGGAAAGCAAATATTTGAAGTGAATACATTTATTGATACTTCAGCCTGTTACCAAGAGGTTCAGGTGTTTCTGTGCTTCCAAAATATACAATCAATTACAGAGAAGTAGGTAGTCAATGATATCAATGTTTTATTTACATAATGCTGAGAATCTGGACTGAATGACTAGGAGATCTTTTTGCATTGTGTACATGGAGCTGAGATGTAATAAGTGTAATAATTTTAATAGTATTGCCTCAAAAATCAAAATAACCCATTGAAAGACAAAAGACTGAGTCGGTCAGATTGTTCTCCTGTCTACACAATTTCAAGCCACAAAGTTTAGTCATTTATTTCATTTAAGTTTACTTAATGTTAATATGCTTCCCTAAAATAATTGCAACTCTGAATAATGGAAATTTTGCCCTGGGTCTTTCAGAAAGGAAAGATAAGTTAAAAATAAACAAGCAAATAAACACCTTGCATTTGTCCATTACAGATAAATGCTGTTTTATTTCCATTTTAAAATGCATTTCCTTTAGGCTATGCACATTTGGGTAGACTTTAATAATTTGGATTTTTAAAAAACCTGGCCAAGGTGAGTATATAACATGTAAATTAAGCTTGCCTAAGAGAAAAAAAAGCAGAGAAAAATATTAAAAGCCCTTGGGTTATAGAATATAGAGGTCTGATCTTTATGAAGGTTTAAGAAACAGAAAAGGAAAAGGTCAGACCGCGGGTCACCACTTTTGGGCAAAGCTGACTTTCTCTCACACTTCTCTTTCCCATGCACCAAGGTCCCACCATGGAGCCTGGTGCCATATTGAATTTCTCTCTCTTCATCGTCTGTGTTTAATATGTCACATTATACTGATTCTCAGAAATGTCTCTCTGGTTTAAAGCCTAATTTAAATTTTCCAGGTGGAATATCTTACTGTTTACTTCTGTATCCCTACCAACAGCTTCCAAAGAGGTTTTCCTCTCATTAATCTCTTGATCTTCAGATCTGCAGACCTAAAGTTGTCAGATTCCTCATCACCAGACACCACTTTCATGATTGCTGTTTCCTCTTCACTATGCACATTCTTTGTTGCTTTTACATTAAATTCAAAATTCCTTTTCTAAAGCTAGGTGGTCGTTCACGCCTGTAATTCCAGCACTTTGAAAGGCTGAGGCAGAAGGCGAGCTGGAGCCCAGCCTGGGCAGCTTAGAGACTCAATGAGACCCTGTGTGAAAATTAAACAAAATGGGAAAGGGGACTGGCTCAGTGCAAAGGCTAAGGTTCAAGCCTCAGTGCAGCAAAAGAAAAAGAAAATCTTTTATCTAGGATCCTCTCCCTGTGTCTCTGTGTCTCCATGTTTTTCTGGGTCTCTCTCTGACTCTCTTTGTCTCTCTGTCTCTCTCTGTCTATCTCATCTAATCTTTTACTGTTCTCTGAAATATATTATTACTTCATTCAAACCGACTCACTTACCCTATTAGAAACCTCACCTCATGTGCCACCTCTTTGGATCCCCCTCCATCCATACCATTGACATCCTGTCACTGTGTCTTATCTTTTGTATGTGAAGTTATTTTCCACCCATTTTTCAAATAATCCCCATCCTTCTAGAGCCTTCTCAAATGCTGCCTCTTCCACAAAGTCTTTTCTGATCCTTCTAGTCCCATAATTTTCCTTCTTTTCTCTAAACTTCCATCCCTTCTACAATACAGGTTGCAGAGCATGTGACTTACATGCACTTCAGCTAAAACAAGTCATCCCTGGTGTCTCACTGAGGTTCTGTTACAGGACCTTTCCTCGCTGTGCAGGGCATGAGGTATCCTGCCTTCCTGTATGCTGACAGCAATGTTATTGCTGAATGTTTTGAATACATTACAGAATTCCCTGAAATTTTTCTTGGAGAAATTACTGTATCAGATACATATTGATTTAACAAATAGTCTTTGTTTAAGTAGTAAATATATACTTCAAGAGCAAATCTGTAGTCCCTTTGCAGTTGTCAGTATATTCAACAAGGTGGGAAAGAACTATACTAGTGCTTAGGTGATAAGCATCACCCACTTTAGGTGTCTTTCTGAGGACTTTTCTCTGGACCCTCACACTGATTCTGAGCACTGTCATTTATCTTGTTTTATAGATGAAGAAGCTAAGGCTCAAACCGTTCTGATTTTCCAGGGTCAGACAGCTTGATTGGAACCCTGGCCTTTAAGGTTGGAGTTCACTGGAGCCAAATCTTTGCCCTTTTCTTCTATGACTTGGCCTCTGTAAAGTCAGTTCATCTGTGACAACTTTGAAAAAACAAAGTAAACATGTAATGCAATTAGCAATTTAAAGAACATTATTAAAGCTGATAGGTACTAATGACTGTAATTGAAAGAAAAGACATTAGGCCAAGTGATATTTAGAATTTATAACGAGAGTACAAATTGGAGTCTAATGAGTAAGTTTACTTCATGCTCTTCTTTGCTGCAGAGATTAAGTGATTGTGATGCACATTCTTTACTCTCTCATTGGATTTATTAATGTGTGTCTTGGCAGATGGTCAGCAGATCTCTATGTATTTCCGTTAATCAAGTTTTGGGTAACAGACGGATAAGTATGTGTCATATTAAGTAACACTGCTAGACCCAAGTGATAGGAACCTAAGTAAGAGCTAGTAAGAGCTGATCAGGTCCTCCCCTCTATTTTCTAGGTATCTGGAATAATAATGTTACATGAATAAGTATCACAGTATCATGTAAAATATTGCATGCATTTCTTTTTAGTTACAGTTCATTATGTATTTCATGCATATCTAAAACATCTTCATTCTAGTAGTTAATTCACATGTGTGTCCGAGTATATCTCGGGTTACAATTCTTCATTTATCAGCTACCTAAAGTTTAGGAGGTAATAATGTGAATGACCCAAATGCATACTTAAAAGGTACACTCAGGTTATACCTATGCACATAATTAAGCTGTATTTATTGGTGGAAAAGAACAAAAGAGAAAGAGAAAATTCAAGTCATTTGAAATAAACAAGATTGTTGATTTCAAGTTTTTTCTTTTAACTAACAGAAAAATGTTTATCATCTACTTTGTTCAGCAAAAAAGGAAAAGGAACTGAAAACTAGGTTCGTAATTAGCTTAGAACAATAGTGTCAATACATATAAATATATACATGATACAAAATCATTTTATTCTTTTACTATTTTATGAAAAAAATTTGCTGTAAAGATGTTGCACTTCATTCACTAATAAAACCATAATTTAACCAAAACCTTTTGGGCATTCAGGTGTCTGAAAGCATAAAAAAATTTTAGTTATGCTTGGCTGGAAAAACAGACATTTAAAAATTCATTATTTTTATAACAAACTGAACTTGATGTTGACCCTTTTAGTAAAACATTTCTCAGCAAAGTGCATTTTTAGTTTCTGCATGTTGGGATAGCCAAAGAACAGAGTGAGAGAATCTTCCTCCCAAAAGATGAACCAAAATATGTCCAGCTGCATCTTTCAAATATGTTGTGAATAACTACAGCTTTGAGGGAAAGTTCCACTATTTTGACTATCTAGTTGCAAACTTTCCTGGTAGCCCTGTTTTGCAGTAAGATTCTTAAAGACAATCCTGTGCTTTGTGAGATTTTTCTGTACAGAAGTCAGAATGGTTTGAGTGCTCCAGTAACATTGTCAGAGAGGCACAACATTTTAAAGGTGGATTTCTGGAGTTTCAGTTCACACTTCTTTATATCTTTACAGCATCTGAACTAGTCCTTGTGGATATACTATCAAATTCTCTCCATCTATTTTTAGGTCTCTAGTTGCTTTCGAGCTGGATTTAATATGTAAAGCAGAATCTTAGGGTGTAAAACATTTGTGTGATTATATTTTGGTTTTGCCACCAGCTAAGCAGGACAAAACTGATCCCATCTCACAAGGGGCTCTATTTCACATTTCTTGAGGAAATTCAGCTTTTCTTACCTGCTTCCTTGAAGACACAGTGCTGTTGAAACATCTGTTAGAGGTCTTTAAATCCACATTCTTGTTCGGATGGGTTGAGTCATTTTTCCATGTCTTAGAGTTTTCTTTAGGGTCTGAAGGAATGGGATTTAAGAAGAGGATTCTAGCTATGAATCCATAGAGGACAGTGGCCAGGATCATTGGCACAACATAAAAAACACCGAAGTCCATTAAGTAAATAGGTGAGTAGTAATTCCTGGAGATCTTGTAGCCACAAGATACCACAGTAGTGTCTTTGTAGGTGCTAATGTTGAGATCCAGCAGGAAGAACCAGAGCATACAATAAATGGATGTGAAAGCCCAGACAAAAATGATGATCTTTTTGGCTCTGGAAAATGTGCAGAGAAACTGGGCTTTGATGGGGTGACAAATTGCTATGTACCTTTCAATGGTAAAGGCTGTTATTGAACAAGAGGATGCATTAATTCCCAAGTATTGAAGGTAAGTAATGCACAGGCAGCCAACATAGCCATAGACCCAGGAACCGTAGATGCTGTCTGTTATGTTGGGAAGACCTGCAGCCACCAGGACCATGAGGTCAGCCACTGCCAGACTCACCAAGTAGCAGTTTGTGGGAGTCCTCATGTGCTTGGTTCGCAGGACCACCAGCACCACCATGATGTTACCCACGATGCCCAGACCACAAATAATGAGTACAAGTAAGATGGTGACCACTTGATATTCAAGGGTCACCACCGCTCGTGGCTGAAGCTGGGTTTGGTTCAGTTCACTGGCTGTCTCGTTTTCCATCATCGGTGGCTTGAAGTTTCTCTGAAACAGCAACTTCTTAAAACATCTTCTCTTCGGTGCCCACCTTTATCGCAGTGGATCTATGCTCTGTGAAAGATGATGCCACATTCATTCACAGCGTCACCGTTCCTGACCAAATCACAGTCACAAGTACCCTCACTTCTGCTCCACTCACTTATGATCCCCCCTACACCGTATCATAAGACTCCTCTATGTACTTTTGAAAACTACTTTTACTGAAACTCTAGTGTGGGACGCAGAAACTCTTTTGACCAGCTCACACTGAGAGGACCAGTTCCTCTTAATGGAAAAAAATGCTTGAAAGAAACAGAAAAAGCTCTTTGTTTTGAAACAGTGCCCAACTCAAAAAAAAAAAAAAAAAAACCTAAATAATGTACGCTAGCTGAAAAAATAAATACAAAGAAACCTTTCATATGCTCTGGAAAAGTATACTAAAAAAAGAAAAAGGTACTGGAGAAAAAGCCAAGATCTTCAATGATCAAGCTTTGCAGGAATACTTAGCTGTTGTTTCCGTTGCTCTTGGACAGTGAGATCTCTTTGGTATAAAATCCTAAGCTGTTGAGCCTACATTTCCCCATGCTCTCTATCCCCCATTCCCAATAAAAAACAGTTTGCTCTCTTACCTTATCTACTGCCGAGCTGCTTGCTTGTCTGAGCAGATGAAGGAGGTCCAAGTTTCCAGCGCTGCAGAAAATCTCTGACACTGACAGAGAGGCCACTTAGCAGCATTCAGTGCTTAGAACTGCAGTTCCTCTAAACCTCCCAGCCCTTTTCAACTCTGACAGACCAGAGAGCAGCTGCAGCAGCAGCAGGAGCTGGAGCAGGAGCAGCAGCAGGAGCAGGAGCCCCAGCAGCAGCAGCAGCAGCCGCAAGAAGGCTGTCAAATCATAGATCAGATCGTCCCTTAACCCAAGCGTGCGCTCTCTCTCCCTCACCCAGCCCCACACACGCACTCCCTCTCCTCACAGATGCCAGTCAGTCCTGACTGATTCACCGTCTTCTCCCTCTGAAGGATTCACTTTGAATGGGTTGCTGATACAGTCTCCGTGTGGAAGGCTGAACCCACAAGTGAGAGGTTTGGAAGCAGCTGGTCTCGTGGGCACTGCTAGTTCAAGTTTGGCAGGGACTCCAGGACTGAACTGCCCTGGAACCTACTTCCAGCCCTTGCCTGACAGGCTTTGGGGGATAGCAAAACCTTCCCAGTCCAGACCCAGCCCTTGAAACTTGGAATATCTGTGCTGAAATCAGCCTCTTCAGTACTATGGAAACCCTGAGAATGTTCCTCCAGTTGGCCAGTAAAATTGGCTTCCTCCACTCAGGCTGCATGAATGGAAAGTGAGTTAAAATTGATTTTAAGTCATTTCAACTGTCATCTTCCAAGGCTTATAAAATTATTATTTAAAAAGCTGATTTGAGCTAAGAATATTGATTGAAACATACATGACCTGTGAAGCTTGTTTTTCAACTGTGGTAGTCCAGTCACTGTGGGTGCCTTTCCCTTTTTACCCATCCAGCAGATGACCAACCCTATGTGTATAGATCATCCAGAAATGGTTTGTCTCAATTTTTTTCTAGGTGGAAAAATCATCTAGCAGAATTCCTAGCCCAGGGCCACTCTGGTATTACACATGTGAAATAAAATTCCATAGCATTGTTTTAAAAAGTGCTCTTTAACTTGATTTTTTACTTCTCAAAACTAACCATGAGACAAACCTATACCTCTTTTTAATGAAGCTCAGAAAATATCTTTCTTCTCTGGCTAATACCTGTGTGCTACAGCTGTTAATGTTTGTCCACTTTTTAGCTACATTTCCTGTAGGATGAACTGACTCTGTTTTACCGAGTTCAGCTTCTTTTCTTCTGAGTAGACAGGACCATATGGATATCAAAACATACCCAGTGTCAGATCACAGTGGATAAGGGGGAAGTTCTGAGTATACTGACTCCCTTCTACTCTCTGAATCACTGAGGAGTGCTTGAGTACCCATTTCTTCATCCAGATCATCTGTACTTAAAAGTAATGACCCATAAGCTGCATTCAGACTTCAGATGTCTATCGCTTGGCTTGCACAAGATAGGCTCAGGTGTCGTTTAAAGTCATTATTTTTTTTTTACCAAGTACTTGGAAAGAGAGTGGAAGCCACCAGCCAAAGGCAAACTTTTTATCTTGACCAGAATATTTCTTGAATTTTGTTTGCTCCTCCAATCGGGTTAGCAGATGGGACAACAGATACGTTGACTTTTTTTGGTCTAGAGGACAGTATTTACTCTCAATAGCGTGCCTCTATAGAGAATAAAAAAATGCTTTCTAAGATGAGTGAACTGCCTGCCTGCTCCATTCAACTCAATGTATCTCTTGAAAAGTCCTAAGTTTTGTTTTCCTCTTCAAGAAGATCATGGTGCATTGGGAGTAGAAATATAGTTACAAAATAAGATATGCTCTGCAAAAAATCATACATTCAACAAGGGTTGGCCATGAAGGGAAGGCACTTGAGGGAGGCAGAGACAGTGGGCTTAGGGACCAGGGAAGGCTCGTAAGGCAAAATGACATCTGAGGATAGTCTTGAAACATGCCTGGCTCTCTTTTAATAGGTGGGGAGAGTAAAAACATTCTGATTAGAGGTGAGCAGATATGAAAAGTGAACTGTAGAAAGTGGCTAGGATGTGTGGGGCCGGTGATGTGAGCCTGGCTTGGCCCTGAGGACTTAACCTGTGATGAAAATGCTATCTGGTGCTGACCCAGGGCCTCTGCTGTGCTGTCCATCATGCTATTCTTGGCTCCTCCTCCTTTTTAGCCTGCTCGTCTGGCCGCTTTGGAGAGACCAAACTTCTGGCTTTGGTTCCCCACCCTGTCCAATCTGTGGTCCTGCGTGGTCTCAAGCAACTTCATGCTCTGCATGAAGTCATATTTTCTAAGTAACTGTGATTTCTTAAAGTGGGTGAGTTTCTTGCTAGTAAATGTCAATTTCCTATGTACAAAAAAACTACACAAAAAGGTAGAATAATTCTTGCATCTGGATTGAGATTTTTTTTCCTCACAACAGTATCCTAAATTCTAATCAACTTTGTTTTTATATCTTTAGAGTACTTTTGACTAGAGAGAAATGCCACCTTTGAAAACAGTTCTGGGCATTTGCTTTGAAAAAAGTGGGTAAATCACTGTTACAACAGTATATATGGATGGCAAACCCAAAACCTGGTGCACACTTCTGAAATCCACTTTGTAGCATGGTTCCTCTGACCTTGTGCTGGCATTGAGAAGGAACATTGGACTTCACTGGTTTCCTTGTAAAAAAATGTGTTTGGACTCCTGGCTGGGACTTTTTTTATCCAGGTCTGGCTTCGGACTTGGTCCTTGAGCTTGCAGAAAGATTTAGAACCTCTGCCTATGCCTCTTTGCATTCCAAATTAGGCTTACTTATGGTACCAGTTTTCCTTATCATGGTCACTCCCAAGAAATCTTCCATTTGGCCCAGATTTGGTTGCTGAGACACCATGGCTGACATGTGCTCACACCAGTTGGACTGCCCTGTACCTGCACAAGAGCAGCTCCGAGAAGCCTCCTTGTAACGACCGCAAGTGGTCTCAGCTCAGGAAGGAGCTCTCCACTAGTTGTTGCGAATCAATTAACAGGTAGATGATTATTTATGTGATCAGTGTTTGCTATGCTGCAACCTACAATCATCTTACTAAACCCTCATTTCTGCCTGCACCCCAGATTTATGGTCCTGTAGGTGTAAGGGGGAATCAGGATGTGTACATTAGGTATAAACATCGCAGTGCTCTTAGCGTTGTAGCTGTACACACCTTAGTAGCAAGGTACTTAAGATGTGATTTAGCTTTGGGTTCCGCTAGGGTAATGGGGAGCCAAGATAAGTCAAAACCACTTTAGAGAAAGTTTCAAAACTATCGCAACCAACCTGGCCCTGCCACATCTTTTGGGTACAGGTGTGCTTTCTGAGAAAGAGATGGGAACTCTAGACAAAAGCAAATGACTTGATTTCATTGTGCTTCACTCCCTTCCATTACTAGCGTGGCTTAGCAAGCCTGACTTAGCAAGCTAGGAAAATATTAATGCTTGCTACCTGACGGCTTTGGAGACTAGGAGACTTCCTGATTGTTTAGATTCTAAACTTTAGAACATCTGCGTAGGGCAATGGTTTACAAGATCCAGGCCTAGATGAATAGAGGGGAAAATTTAAGGGCCACCAAAAAACCTCAGGACAATCCATGTTTTGATGCAATACATTTTTAAACAACAAATTTAATTCAAAAGTGTCTATGATAAATAAAACATCAAAATTTTAAATAAAGATAAAACCAGTGTTATACATTTGCTTAGCTGTAGGTGTGAAGTACTGTGCTTTACTTAAAAGTTTGCTGTTTTGTTTATAATATGCAATTTTTTCATTCAAATTTGGTTTTTAAAAATATTGTACTAAAATATCACCTTTTTACTGAGGTTTTATTTATTTATTTATTTATTTTTTGAGTCACTTTACGTTTTTGTTACTTTGGTGTATTTCAAGCTTTCTGAATCCTCCGGAGTTTTTAAAACTAAGGATACCTGGACTATCTATTCTTATTTGATTGTTCGGGAAGTGAAGTCCCTGGCTTTGCTATTTACAACCATGGCCGAGAACTACTCATCCTGACCACAAAATTTGTTGTCTAGAAATGAGAAGTTGGTGGTATGTAGTCATGTAGGCATCTGTGAGAGAGTCAGAGAGGTTACATAAATTAGGTCTAAGGTTCAGAATGGTGACAGCATCAGAAAACTATAGCAGCAGATGGCTCTGCCACCAGACTGTTTTCTAGGAGAGATTGTATAAAACTACACAGGTTTAAGGCCTGCTGAACCTAGTGCAAAGTATCAGATTATGACTCAGACGCTAAAATCACAGCAAAATTTTAGTTCCTGGAATTGAAACGTAAGGTTTGGATTCTGGAGATGGAAAACATCAACACAAGATTTAATGATGGGTCAGTTGGATGCTAAATGCAGGATCCTTAAATTTCCTGTTCAGGTAGAGGTTCCATGACAGGCCCAGAAGGTGAAGATGTCTGGCACACTCTATAGGAAAAATGTCAAAATGTATTTTTGCTGAAATTTAGATGTTAGCCAGAGAAAACTGGCTTTTGATCAATAAGTAAAAATACTTTATGTAATGGAATATGAAGCTGTTGCTTTTGCTTATTGGCAAAGGCACAAAATTTCATTTACTCTGAAAGGTAAAACATTTTGCGTAGTAATGTTGCCTAACTTAGTCAAAAACTGCTTTTCTTGTTTCTCTATTATGTAAACGTCTATATTGCCCAATGTCCATATTTTTGGAGAAAATAGGATCTTAAATTTAAAAACAAATGATAGGACTAGAGACGCTCAGTGGTAGAGTGCTTGCCCCGCATGGGCAAGACCCTGAGCTCAGTTTCTGGTACCACCACCACCGCTGACAACCAGCCACGGCAGAAGCCTATTGGAAATGCCCCCAAGCCTACTCATAACTTCTTATCCCCTGAAGCTGGTACCACCCATTGTCTGATCAGATGAACACTTTAGGAAGGGTTATACACCGTTTGCAAAAATGTCTGCAAAGTATCACTTGTTCTGACCTATACAAATGACAAACTTTTTAAATTTCTGAGCTTATATTTACTTTGGCTTATTGCACATTTTTTAAGGAGCATTATTTAAACATGTTTTCAAAAATTCCTGTAACTTCAAAAATTACCATAATGAATCCATTACCATATCGTAAAATTTAATTTTTTGACTGATTATGTGTTATTCTTTATTCTGACTTCCGGCTTGAAATCCAAATCCATACTTTTACATAAACAATTGTGTAAGTATTTACTAGTGAAATATTCCTCCTTCTAAATCAGTATGGCATTTGATCTTCGATTCTTCTTTCCTTATTTATTTACAGATATGTGTGTGTGCTTATTATTTCTTTACGTCTGTGTATCTTTAAAAAAAAAACCAGCTTTGTGAAAATGCAAGTTGAATAGAACAAAAAGAATTCATTGTGAGTGTAGCCATATGACTTTCAAGAAGTATATAAATCTTTGTAGCCTCTTCACAATTAAAAAAGAAACTTTCTGTCATCCTAAAACATCACTATATCCTTTTTCAGTCTGTTCAACTTTCTATCTCTTGATTATATTTGTTTTTGAAGATTTTTA